CTATCAAGAATGAATCAAATCGCTCGTGCTGCTCGTAGCAGCCACGAGACGACGCGTGAGTTTCGACAGAGATGCCCAGCGTAGCGAGGGACGTTCGAGCTCGCATCGCCGTCGGAATGGTTTACTGCGACGCCTTATCTTGAGACGCCGCGGCATGAATCGGGGTAGAATGAGTGGTTTTTGACCGTCGACACCGCGCCCTCGAACAGCTCTAGTCGCGGCGAATTCCGATGTGCCAATGAATTCCATCCGTGGCGACCAACCCGACGACCCGCTCCTAGTGACTCATCAGACAAATTCGAATGTGTCGGTTGCGGGGATGTGAATGTCGAATCTTCGATCCTCGAACCAGAGCCCAGCTTCGAAAGTCGAGGCGCAGCTTCCGGATACTCGAGCGCGAGGGGACCCTCCTCGCTGCTGACGCATAATCAGAGAATCAACTACCGCCGCGCGATAGCGTCGAATTCTGTGGAATTCAAGGTGCCCCATCAGTTACCCCCGGGAGCGGTCGAGTTCCGCATCTCGTGGTAATGGCTTTTGCATTCGGGAGGCTAGAGATCTAGCATTTGGATTCTTACAGATTGGAGTTCAGTCCGCGAGTTAGAAGAGACTCTGTGTGTCCAGTCGTACCACACAGACTCTCGTCGCAACTCCAGAGGTACCCTGAAGATGACGTCCGGGAGAATTCACATGATGCGTTAAAAGCAGCAACCGAGCAAAGGACTGAGAAAGACTGACCGCTCCAACCGTCAAAAGTCCCGGCCTCGCAACTGAATTTACGTTGAGAGCATGAGCATTCCTTGCGTGGGGAACACTGCTCTGTGTAGCTCCACAGCGCTAGATTGATCGCCTCCGGCAATTTATCTAGGTATTGTAAGATAAACTTTGCGGTTCTCTCACTTAGCGAAGCTCTGTACGAAATTGATCAAGACACGAAGTGGTTGGATTTCTAGACCCGATGAATAAGTAGGAACTCAAGCTCAATAACTAATTGTTATATATCGACTCAGTAAAATGAGTGACTCCATCGAGTTTATGGGATCCTCGATGGGGATCTCGACCGACGGGATCCCCTTCCTTCCCACACTATTCCATCGAGATGGACTGCGTCCACGCCAGCGCCTACTGGCGGATGCGCAGCGTCACTCTGCTCGTCGCCGAGTCCTTGTTGCCGGCGTCGACACTTCCGGCGAGATCAGAACGTATCAGCCCAAAAATGCCTGATTCCCGTAGAAACCCTCATGTGCATATCCATAGCGAGCTCGAAGGGAGTGCTACATATGTGATGAATATTCCACACGCGGCCACGATCATATTTTTTTCTCCGAATCGTTACGTGTGAAACCGCTCAGTGATAGCTTCTAATGCCATGGATTCATCCCAGGTAATCCTGATCCTTAATGAGCTTGAGAGTTCTCGAGACAACGCCGTCGGGTACAGCCGTCCGTGAGGAGCGCCGGTAGCTATCAGCAGGACGTAAAAAAAATCAAAGCAGCGAAACCGCAAGTCTGAATGGTCTGAGCGAAATTGGAGATAAAAGAAAAAAATTCTGTAGGTGAGCGAGGTATCGAAGCACGGCCTTGGGGCGCATCTTCCGGGGTCGAGGGATATCGAAAATACAAATGGTCGATGACCACCGTCGGAGTCAACAGAGTCGAGCTCGAGTGACTGAAGTTCTGAGCGGAGACGAATCTTGAACTCGAGGGGTCTGCACGACAGAAGGGAAACCCTCAAGAGGGTGCTTGGGCGAGTGCGTCCACAGAGTGGGGGGTTTAAGGGGGCTGTAGCCCCCTCCCGTATGGAGCGTTCGAATTACTAAGGTATAAGAGCGAGTCGCCATTTTGGAGATCAGCCCCATGCGAGTTCCGATCTAGCCCCCCTCTGAGAAAAACCCTGCGGAGGCCGCTGTGCTCGGGAAGCGGAGTCGAATGCGACACGGAGAAATGATCCTGCAGGTAACGAGAAATAACGCCCTTGCTCATCCGTGAAGAAAATCTGTGCAAGAAGTTTGCCGGCCGCAGGGATAGAACCCAAGCCACCTCTCTCGGGACCGGCGCCGGCGTCGTGCCGCTGAAGTTATGCGTAAGGACGCAAGAAGTGACACACGCGCAACCACTCGATCACACCTCGATCTTCTCCTACGAGTGAGTGAGTCCTCAAGTCTATCCCAAAGATCAGTGTGAGGGAGAGCTGGGAAGGCCGCCAGGACAGAGTCGAAGGAAGCGGCTGACTTTCTTGTAAGGCAATGAAGTTCTCCAATTGACCACAGAGAAGCATGCGCTCATTATCGGATTTCCTCTGCATGGCTCAGGAAGGACGTCTTCATCGAGGGATACTATGATACATACAATAATTTTCTTCAGGGCGATCGCACGCATTTGCGAACGACGTGTTGAGTCGCGATTTCGACTGAGGCATTCTGAGAGGGAGCACGTCATGAAGTCACTAGGTCCTCACATTCTTATCTGTCGAGCTCGATATCGGGAATGGGACTGGAGTCCTCCTTCCGAAATGGAGGAAATTTTTGTGGAATAGCGGGAAAATCATAGAATATTTCTCCGACTGTAGAAGTACTCATTGTTCGACGGGGGAGGAGACAGGGTGTACAGTCAATTTCCTGGTCCGTTTAGAACAATGAGGGTAGCATCGTGACGATGCGCTTCAAATGGTAACGGTCCATTCTGACGGCGAGAACACAGGGTGACGGTCGCGGAAGCTCCAATTGAGGGACACTCCTCGCTAGCTCCATCTACGAATGCTTTTACCTTCACTGTCCTAGCGGATAGGGGCCCCCTTGTGAGTCTCACTCGTCCGTGTGATTGAACACCTTCCGAACTTCCTCCGGTTTCTTGCCTAAGACCACGCTTGCGAGCATGTGGCAGCTCCGCTCGAGAAATACCCTGATACCGAGGACACTGGCTGCTTCTATTATGTCGAGGTTTGATATTTCCCAAATTCGGAGGAAGTGTCTTTCCCTAGCGTTAGACCCCAGCAGTCGGCAGCTGATCTGCTTCCCGTTCCTTAAAGCGGGCCGTTTCCATGGCGCGTGCGGTCCACTCAATGATCTTGAGCGAATTGGTGTCCTTAACATTCGACACTGGAACTGGCTCGCCGTCCCCAACGCAGAAGACTCCGAGTATCATTGTGATAGATGAAGACATTTTCTCAACCTGAGCATCCGCTTCGAAAACAGTGCCCACTTTGCTGCTCGGCTCAAACGTCACCCTATTGCGTTGACGTGATTGCGCCGCTGATCTCAGCTCCGTGACAGTTCGATCTTACTCCGTCGTCTTACCTTGAAAAGGCTTCCAACTTCACTGCGATTTAAGGCTGGACCTACATCCACTCATATTGCTTGTAGTCATGTCGGTGGGGCGCGAAACTGGAGGTGAGGTTAATCACTTGTCGCAGGGACCCGCTTCATTGATGTCCCATGGAGAGATCGTCGGCCGATTGGTCCCACAAGAAAGAACTCTGTCTACCAGCTCCGGAAGGGAACCCGACGCGGAATCTCAAAAGCACACACTCGAAAAAACGCAGCGGACTGAAATGACGCAAACCCATGCATTCCTATTAGTCGCTTCTCCGCTTTCGCTGGAGCGAGGCGTGTTTCGAGGAATAATGCAGCGTAACGATTTGCTTCAGAGAACCCGAGTTTATTCCGACTGGGGGTATACCGAGGGGGGGCGATAGCGTGACCTGAGATTCGGCATAACTTCTCTCGATCATCGAACACTAATATATTCTCTCTATTCATCTAACTGAAAGCTCCTCTTCAAGTTATGTCTCCTGAGTCTTCCTCTCAAGGAAGACCGAAGAGAATCTGGGTTTCCTCCGGTTACTTTCTTTGCACCGCGCTCGCCAGCTTCTTGCACGCCTTGCCAAGTAATCTTCTGATGTCCAGGGAAGCAGCTCTGATTAAGTCGAGCAGGACATGTTGCTCGACTTCGAAGAGTCTTTCTTCCCAGAGTGTCAGATCGTCACGCTGGGGATCTGCTTTTCGTCCTGTGCCTTGAGGCTAAATCTCTACCAGATAAGTGACCCATTCGATGACCTCGAATAGGCTGGCGTCGTTCACTTTCGTCAGTGGTATTAGCGAGAAGCCCGACCCTCGAGCAAGCGAATCCCGTGGCAAATCGAAAGCGCGAGATGATAGAACAAACCCGATTCCTTGCTCTATGTGCAAACACGTCGGACTTACTTGCGGGAGAAAGACCCGCTCAGTGGAAGAATACCGACTTCCGGAAAATGGATACACAAAAAGACGGAAAAAGCAGTGTCCGGGTAACTGGGAACTCGCGTCATGATGGAAGAGCGTCGAGACGATCCGCTTAGAATGCTCCGACTTCATTCCGGTGGCTAATGAGTACCAGAGGCGGGAACTCGAAGGCGATCCTGAAGGCGGAAAACCAAGGGGTCGCATCGCGAGATGGTTCAATAATTCCAACGATTTGGATTACGAAGTCTAGTACTTCTCTTGGGAGAGGATGCAGCGGCCCTTCTGCCGCATCGAATAGAACTGCGCTCTTAATTCAAGATGCATGTACAATTTGGTGGCGCTCCGAAGGGCGTACCCCGGAGTACCTGCAATGCCGCCGCGATGAGGACGGTTATGATGCGCCACGGCAGCCTCCCGTATGCTCTTCCAACCACCAGGGGAATCAGGATACAAGCTGATGAACATCTTCAGATCCCGGATGAGTCTCTTAGCCGAAGCGTTCAACTATGGATGATAAGGACTGCCAGCTTCAACGAGCAACCCCGTTTGCTTCGCTCATTCCTTCAGCTATTAGCTCCCAGACACTCCAGTCAGACAATAGGTAATTAAATTCTATTTTTCTGTTATGAGCTGTTTTATGTACATCTCATGATCTGAGCCCTTTTCTTTTCCATCAATCATCAATACTGCACAGCTATTCAGCTTAATCCATTCAGTGAAACCCATGATCAAGAACCGCCGGTTTATTCTAGCTCATTACATGTTTTCGCAAAAGGATTTTTCATTCCGAGTTCTTCTTTTCCGGTAGATTGAAGACCTTCCGGAGATCTCCGAGTGTCTTGCCTCTCGCTTTGTTGGCGAGCTCCTCGCAGCCTTGATCGAGTAATGTTCTGATGTCGAGACCATCGGCTGCTTCAATTATCTCGAGCAGGAAATCCCGCTCGGCTCCGAGGAAGCTACCTTCCCAGGGCGTGAGAGCTCTTCGGTCGGCGTCCGTGCTCTTGTCCATTCCATTCTCATCCCGGTGCGCAGCCCAATCCACGACTCTGCGGAGTGTGGCGTCCTTGACGTTTGACTGAGGGGTCCAGTCGTCGTCGCCAACGGAGAAGAACTCGAGCATTACATCGAGGGAGCAAGAGGAGTGTGTGGATCTTGCTTCCACCTCAGACATCACGCCTTCACTACTTGTCGGCTTGATCGTCGACATTTTCGGAAATATGTGCAGAGTTTCTCGAATCTTCGATTGGAGCTTCTGGAACGGAAGGCCGACCAGAGGCTTACGCAGAACAACAGCTGAGAAACAGGGACGGAACGTGTTTGTCGATGAACATCGAATCTCACAAGTAGGCACCTCAGATGTGAGAGGGAACTCCTATGAGGCGGAGGAGGTGATTCGAACCTCCTACCCCGACGCTTTGCGTCTTCGGGGAGAACGGGGTCCGCCAGAAGGCGAATCTGAGTCGAATACTCCCATCAATGGTTGCATAATCGCAACCCGAATCAGATACGGCCAAATCGAGCTAATCTGGGTGACGGAGAGTGCATAATGTGCTGCGACATCGGAGACGGCTGGAGAGTGACGAGTTTCTCAAGTAAAATGATCGCCTCCGATTGACTATTCGGAAGCCGAATACCTGTCCGGGAATCGAAGATTCTTTAACTAGAAATATTAATCAGCGCTTCTAAATCAATGACTTCCGGACTCATTCTTCGAATCGCGCTATCTCCCGTGCTTGATATGAAGCAGCAATGGGACCGCTACCCGAGAAGTCGACAAGTTATCGAGACAGAGATCTCTAGAATTAATAGAACGGGCGTCTGCTGAGCCCTCCGCGTCCGTCCCTTCTTCCCCGCATCATTCGGTCACCACTTCGAGCTCACAATCGTCTTGAAAGTACCGACCCAGGGGAGAGAGGGATGGGATGGAGAAATGGGAAATTCCCCCGATAAGCGGACGGCCTTGGACCGAATCTCCGCTTCCTAAAGAGCATCATGTGCCGTCATCGTCTCAGGTCCGGCTCCTATGCGTCGTCCGTGGGTTACCTTCAGAACTGTCCTGAATTATAATTCTAATCATGATTCGTCAAGATCAATCCGCTCCCGCTCCGAAGATACCGGTTCTGCAACTACGTCTCCTGTCTCCACAAGCATCCCGGCGATTCCGTGCCCAAAATTCCTGGACAAATGGGATGATTCAATTGCCGGACTTTGATATTGGAAAGCGAGATGACATCCTGGCCGAGGGAAGTGACTTCGATCGCATGACTTGGGAATTGAAGCCCGTGCGAGAGTGCATCCGAGCCTTCCGGGCGTTAAAGTTTGTCCCGAGAGCCGGATTCGCCTTCAGCACTTCGCAGAATCGTCCCGGGGAAGAGAGAGTACCAACCTGTCGGACAGGTCCGCTTCACCTCGAGTCAGCATCGGGAGGCTGTCGACTCTTAGGACTTAGGGGACTTCCATCTGAATTTTCTCACAGTAAGATTTCGTGTGCTGGGAATTCGATCCTCGCTTGGCAGGGATTCTCCTCCGAAGTAAACAAAAACCAAGCGGACTGAGTGAACGCTTACCCGTGCGATTCTGTTGGGAATCAAGTAGATCCATCACGCCGCTTCCCTCTTCAAGCTTGAGCGATTCTGTTCTATCATACATGTCAGAGATGTTCGGATCAATTGGTGGTGAAGTACAGATGATAGGAGATGTAGGATAAAAAGTAAAATATTTCTACTATCATCATATCTCCCCCTATGATGAAAGCGTAGTGTCTGTCGGTCAGTCAGTTCGCACTTTATGGACCATTTCGCTTCATGATTTGGACCTGACTTTGTGTTACCTACACGTGGATCCCGTCTCATGCCTATGTAACTTTGGCTCCCTTCCCACCGACCATTGAAGTTGAGACAATTCCCTGAGTTATTCGAGATGACGATTTCTCGGCCCTGGCGGATGGGTTTCTTGCGATTATTTGGCGTTCAAGGGATCTTGGCGAGACGCATTCTGATCTCAAAGGGACCTTCACCTTCGTAATCTTGTTCCGATCCAAGCAGACAGCGAATCCCTCGTCGCCTCGATATTGCCCTCATGTTTTTTTTTCCCATTCGCCATCGAGAGACTCCAAAGCCAATGAGAAACACTTGGAGCCAGCTCAACTTAAAACAGTCTGGGCATATTTGTCGATATCGATATATTCATATCGATACTCTCAGATCGCTTGATGAGAGGTTGATTCAAACTCATTCGGAGGTTTCTGGGGCCACTGAACACCAAGGTCTTCCTTCCCCAATAATTCGGGGCCCGCGAAATATAAGGGGTTCGAAATGGCGGGAATCTGCCGCATGCATGAAAATCATCCGATTCTTGAAGCAGAATGAACAACGGATAATCCAAGCCAAAACGACTCGAGAGAGTTGGTGGAAACTGGAGTCTGAATTCGACGGGAATCCGGTGTCTCCGAAAGCCGATGCCGCGATTGTTTATCTAGCGAGTAGCGAATGGTAGCCGGTGTGTAAGATCGGAAAAGGAAAAGAATTGTCAGCCTCGTGGAGCCTTCGAGACAGACGGCGCAGCCGACTTTCAGTCGAACGGTGAATCTGCGAAGGATCCAGTTCATCAACGCCGCTCGGAGCGCGAAGTTCACGCCTCCGTCTCGAGCCCGTTCAAGCTACACAGTTATTCATAGATCGTCACAATCGATCGATAAATATCGAACTTTATCGATATTCCCGTATCGATATCGATATTTGTCGAAACAAATTTGCCCAACACTGACCCAAAACGAAGCTTGGAGCCGTCGCAACATTCGAGCTGAATCGCTCCGACAAGGGAAGAATTCCTAGCTGTCGAGGACCCCTGATTCGAGTGGGCTCTGCACGGGCGTCAGCTCCAGGCATGATTCCGACTGGATGGTCCCACATTGCGAACCCCTTCTCCCCAATCTGGCATGCCTTGAGGCTGCGCGGCGCAGAATCTGTTCCGCGATACCTCGACAGAAACGTTGCACACTGACTTGACGCAGCCACAAATCCTACAGCAAGCTGCTCCTTTCCTACCGCTGGGACGATGCTGCTCGAAGCGTCCGGCGACACCATTGTTCCGAGTCACCAATCCCCCAGAGGTTCGGATTCCCTACCATGTGGAGTATGCACATCGATATTCATGATTCATTATTTTCTATAGAGTTCTAAAACGCGGATTCTCGGGAAGATGCACCTCGTCGGAATGCTCCCATCACCATCCAGCGTATCCCATCTTTAACAACAGAGTGTCATTCCGCGAGATCGAACGAGGAATCTCATTCCGAATTTCGGGCTCCGATTTCAACACCGAGAGAATGAGAAGGTTATACAAGCAACTTTTCTTGATTCACTCAGGGATAGCATAGATTTCCCGATATTAGGCGTGTGTTGGGAAGAGAAGCAGCGTGTCCATTTGCTTCAAAGGATCCAAGTTTATTTGGATAAGGTATACGGTAAGGGGAACGGTGGCGAAACATTAGATTCGGTATGAATTTTCTCGATCATCAAACATCAGTACATTCTCTCTATCAACCTAAGTCATCATTAGATTGGGTCACCTGAGTCTCACTCTCACGCTAGACCGAGAAGCTCTTGGATTTCCCCAGGCGACTTGTTGCGGACCGTGTCCGCCAGCTTCTTGCAAGCCTTCTCAAGTAGTCCTTTAATGTCTAGATAGTTTGCTGCT